TCTATTGGGGCCCATCTTGGTGTCCCATCAGGTCTGGAGGCACTTTGGGGGGTGCTGGGGACACCCCTAAGATTTGGGGACACCCCAGTGGGGATGGGGACCCACCTTGGGGACAGGGAGCCTTTTATTGGGGATGAGGAACTTGCAATTGGGGCCCATTTTGGTGTCCCACCAGGTTTGCAGGAGCCCTGAGATTTGGGGACATGCCCTTGGGGACAAGGAACCTTCTGTTGGGGACGAGGAACCTTCTATTGGGGAGGAGGAACTGTCCCCAAGGGCCCATCTTGGTGTCCCACCAGGTTTGGGGGCACCTTGGGGGTCCCCAACCCTGTGATACCCACATGGTCCCCATCACCCCAGGATCTTCTTCAAGAGACCCCATGGGACCCATTGACACCTCTTGGGGTCCAAAGGTGTCCCCAACCCAATGACACCCACAGAATGCCCCCTGAGGGACCCATCCCCAACTTTTGGGGTCCCTTTGGGTCCTTGGGAGGTCCTTGAGCACCCAAAGGTGTCCCCAACCCAATGACACCCACAGAATGCCCCCTGAGGGACCCATCACCAACTTTTGGGGTCACTTTGGGTCCTTGGGAGGTCAGCAGGGACCCCAAGGTGTCCCCAACCCATGATACCCACAGGATGCCCCTCAAGGGACCCATCAAGACCTTATGAGGTCCCTCATGGCCCTCGAGGGGTCCCTGAGCACCCAAAGGTGTCCCCAGGACCCACCTGAGTGAGGGCGCGTGCACCGACCACCCGAAGTCGGCGATCTTCAGCTCGCCCTTGAGGCCCATGAGCAGGTTCTCGGGTTTGATGTCGCGGTGGATCACCTTCTTGCTGTGGCAGTAGATGAGCGCGTCCGCCAGCTCCTCCATCACCTGCGCGAGGGTGGCACCCCAAAACTGTCCCCGGGGCACCTCGAGGTCCCCTAAGGTCCCCCCATAGCACTCCGTGGTCAACATTGGCTCTTTGAGGTGCCCTGTGGTATTCAAGGTCTGGTGATCTTGGTGGAACATGTCTATGAGGTTCTCTAGATGCACCCCAAAAGTGACATAAGGTCCCCAATGTCACCCCGAGGTCCCCAATGTCACTCTGGGGTCAACATCATCACCCCAAGGCTCCCAATGGGAGCAATGTTGTCAACCCAAGGTACCCAGCAGCACCGAAAGACCCCACATCCTTGGTAGAACAGGTCTACCAGGTTCTCCAGAAGTTCAGTGAGGAGAAATGTGGGGCCAGGAGCACCCTGAAAGTGTCCCCAGTGTCACCCCGAGGTAAATATCATCACCCCAAGGCTCCCAATGGGAGCAATGTTGTCACCCCAAGGTCCCCAATGGCACTCAGTGTCCCATGTCCTGGGTGGAACATGTCTATCAGGCTCCCCAGAACCCCATGGCAAGAGGAAATATGGGGTCAGGAGCACCCCAAGAGTGTCCCCAATGTCACCCTGAGGTAAATATCATCACCCCAAGGTCCCCAATGGGAGCAATGTTGTCAACCCAAGGTACCCAGCGGCACCCAAAGACCTCACGTCCTTGGTGGAACAGGTCTACCAGGTTCTCCAGAAGTTCAGTGAGGAGAAATGTGGGGCCAGGAGCACCCCAAAAGTGTCTTCAATTTCACCCTGAGGACCCCAATGTCACCCTCAGGTCAACATCATCATCCCAAGGCTCCCAATGGGAGCAATGCTGTCACCCAAGGTCCCTAACGGCACTCAGTGTCCCACGTCCTTGGTGGAGCACGTCTACCAGGCTCCCCAGAACCCCATGGCAAGAAGAAATATGGGGTCAGGAGCACCCCAAGGTCCCCAATGGCACTCAGTGTCCTATGTCCTTGGTGGAGCACGTCTACCAGGCTTCCCAGAACCCCATGGCAAGAAGAAATATGGGGTCAGGAGCACCCCAGAAGTGTCCCCAATGTCACCCTGAGGTCAATATCATCACCCCAAGCTCCCCAACGGCACTCGGTGTCCCATGTCCACCAGGCTTCCCAGAACTCCATGGCAAGAAGAAATATGGGGTCAGAAGCACCCCAAGAGTGTCCCCAATGTCATCCTGAGGTCAATATCATCACCCCAAGCTCCCCAACGGCACCCAAAGGCCCACGTTCTTGGTGGAACATGCCCACCAGGTTCTCCTGGTGGAAGGAACGTGGGCCACGGAGCGGCCCGGCAGTGTCCCCGGTGTCCCCGCGAGGTCCCCGCGCCACTCACCGTGGCGCTGCGCTGCTCGTCGAAGTGGTGGCACTTCTGGAGCTCCTTGTAGAGCTCCCCGCGCGGCGCGTACTCCAGGATCAGGTAGACCCGCTTGCGGTCGTGGAAGTAGTTGTAGAGACGCAGCACGTTGGGGTGCCTGGTGGGGTGTCAGGGTGATGGGGGGCACCCTAAGGACCCCCCCGGGCAGCCATGGTGGGTGCTGAGCACGTGGGACCCCCAGGAGCACCCAGAGACCCTCCTGGGAGGTCACCAGAAGCCTCCTGAGATGCCCCCCAGCACCTCAAGGACACGGGCAGCACCTTGGGTCACCTCACAGGGACCCCTCATGTCGTCCCCATGTCCCCAGGGTGTCCCCATGTCCCCAAGGTGTCCCCAGGGTGTCCCCAGGGTGTCCCCTCACCGCAGGTGGGACTGGATCTCGATCTCCCTCCGCAGCTGGTGTCCCCATGTCCCATCTCCATGTCCCACCACCATGTCCCCAGGGTGTCCCCATGTCCCCAGGGTGTCCCCAGCGTGTCCCCAGCGTGTCCCCAGGGTGTCCCCTCACCGCAGGTGGGACTGGATCTCGATCTCCCTCCGCAGCTGGTGCTCCACTCCCTCCTTCTCGATCTGCGACTTGAAGAGCACCTTGAGGGCCACGATGAAGCGCGACGTCCGCTCCCGCGCCAGGTACACGTTGCCGAACTTGCCCTTGCCCAGCGGCCGCCCCACCTCGAAGTCCTCGATGGACAACGTCCTCCTGCGGCCACCGCCGCGCAGCAGCCGCGG